AGCTAAGAGTCTTCCCAATGACACTCAGGATGGAGACCTTTGCTATCCAGCCTTGCCCTACTGACCAGTTCAACGTGCAGCAATGTGAGACACTAGTTCAGTGCAGCTGCACAAAGAGGTACCATTTTAGCCTATGACAGTAATACAAGAATCATTTTGATACTCACGTGTGCACCGAAGAAGTTGTATTTTTATTGTTTATCGTGGGTGGGGGTTTCCAGCACTGCCTGAGAGCTGCAGCCTGAGCCCTCTGTGAAACACTGCGGCACGCTGTGCCCTGGAGAACTTACAGTTTGATGGGCAGTGCAGGCACAAGGGGTCAGAAGGGCTCTGGCACTCACGAGGAATAAGAAATGTGATGCTGGCAAGTGATGTTTAAAGCTGTGATTCCAAGGCTGAAGAGGCTTGGATGATAGGGAAGAAAGTATAGAAGCAGAAAGGCTTGAGCCTGACAGAGTTCAAGAAGCATTGGGACAATACTTTTGGGCACATGGAGTGGCTCTTGGGGAGGATCTTGTGCAGGGCCAGGAGTTGGGTTCAATGATCCTAATGGGTCCCTTCTACAGAATCATATTCTATGATTCTCTGACTTTGACAAGAATGGCAGAGAAGGAAGAGGGGGACAGATATGGTGCTTCTATCAACTTCAGGCTCTAGCTGGGTCCACTCCACTGCATTTTATCGCAAAGCCCCACTTCTAAGGGAAGAGGAAAGTCACGAGTTTGTGGGGAAGTGTGTGGGACGAATGTCTCCAGAAATCTGAGTCATAAGAAAATTTGAGCAGAAGGAAAGGTGGCTGCACTTGGCCTTTATTTTATCCCCTTGCAGTAAGAACACCTCAGAGGTAATACAGATATTAATGTTATATGTAGAGCATCTATATCTCTAGAGGAAAAACAAAGGTACTTATCATTTTACTCGACTCCCAAATGATGAAACGTTGTTTAGCTTTGTCTAATTTCAACATCTTGTGAGCATATTCTGATCATTAGTGTGCACTCAGAGGAGGTGCTAATTGTCACCAGACACAGAACAAGGGGCAGATGTTCAAGGAGGATCCTGCCTGTCCTTCTACAGCAACACTACAAGCAAAGCATCAGAGTCAGACGTGAAGCAAAACCTGAGGTCCAAACTCTTCTAAATGTCAGGTGAGCCCAACACTACATCCAACTGCAATAGCAAAACATCCCTCAGATCTGAGAAACTGCAAAACAAGAGGGATGTCTGGAGTAAGGTCTGATCTGTGTTCCTGCCCTCTCCTGACCTTGTGCAAAAGTGGCTCAGCCAGCTCTGCCTGAACGTTTGATAGATGCTATTCAACAGACTACAAGAATTTCCATCACCTTCAAAACACACAACACAGCACCACTCTGTATTCTCTTCACCTTCGCTTTTTACATTTTTCCTTCGGGTTCTGAGCTTTATGTTATTAAATTTTGGTGTAAAACATTATAATAAATAATAAGCAGCAACATTTTCCATCCTAAAGATATCAAAGACAGAAAAATATTGTTTCCCTTTTTCTAGCGAGGAAAGTGAGGCACTAATTACTTGCCCAAGGTGACTTTGCTCAGTAAAAGATAGCAAGACAAAGAGAAAATTAATTTAATGTATTAAAGGTTAGGTTTGTTGGTTTGCCTTTTTTTTTTTTTACTTCAGAAAAAGCACTCTAGTGGGAAAATGCAGTTTCAGAAATGTGAAAATGAGTTCAAATATAATGTGAATCTAAAAGGGTTGGTTGTTTCACATGAATTTGTGGCTGTGGCACGACAACAGATGAGTGATCAGTTTGTGTATAGATAATTGCAATGAGTCTAGCCTACAGGAAAAAATGTCTTTATGCAAGAGTTCTGGACAGGGTGGAAAAGCTTGAATGTTGCAGTGATGGAAAAGCTAATGGACAGAACAAGCACTCCAGACAGTTATCCAGAGCACAGCATGCAAAAGCACAGGAAACCTGACATGCCCTGAGCTGGTCTGGATCAGCCAGCAGCTCACAGTGAGGATTCTGCCGGCAACTGAGGGCAAAGCAGAGCATGCAAAGCCTCCACACAGGCCACGAGGAGCCCAGTGGAAACACCTGGCTTCATGTATTCAATGAGCCAAGGGCAAAAGCAGGTTCTGACTGAAGGGGGGCCCTGCACTATTTTGCCATTTCAGAGCAAAATGACTGAAAGTGGCGGTGCCACCATCCTGTTTAATATAAACAGGACCTCTCTGCAGCCCAACCCCAATTAGGGTTTTCCCATTGGTGTTGACTTGAGCAGTGGCTCTAGGTAAGCCAAAAGGCATTTTCCAAACCAGCAGTTATCACATTTCTTAACTGCAAAGCCTCTGCCACGCTGTCATGCATGACTTGTCTCACCACAAGGTGCTGCTTTTTGCACCCTATGAAAAATCTTGTCTTAATGACTGTGTGGGAAGAAGGCCCTCCATCTAAATCTTCCTGTGCCTGGGCAGCAGTGGGTAGTAGTGCTCCTTTTGTTAGAAGAGAAAAAATACTGTGTGTGATTTTGGTTTTGTTGGCTGTAACTTGCCAATGCAAAGCAGCCCAAGCTGAGCTTGCTGGTCACAGGGGCCTGAGAGCAGCCCTTGCTAAACTGAAAGGATCCTGACATCAGAACCAGCAAAATGAGCCAGTGAAAGGTTATGGAATGTATCCAGTAAACATTGTTCTGGAGAGAGAAAGTATTGTGTCCATTATTTCGCTGGCATGGAGCGTGATATTTTGTCCGGTATTCCACTGTCTGGGAATGGTGTCGTTTGGTATCCACCAGCCAGTTGAGGGGGCTGAGACATGCAGCTGGATAGAGATTGCTGGCTCTGTAGTTGAATTAAACACTGTGTTAAGCAGCTGCTCTCCTGATTTGCCTCCAGACTCTTTCTGTGCTGCTGTTCACACCTATTTGTGCGCAGTTGGGTAGGTCTTGTCTGCACAGAAAAGAGGTTTGATATATGACAACATTACACAGGAGTTAACTACAATCTACAGCCTCTCCCTGGTGCTTTGTCCAGTCCACTGCTACCCTGCTATTACTTCTCACATAGGACTTGCTGTATCCCTGCTGCTCTGCCCACCCAGCCTGAGATTCAGTCTTCCTTTTTTCTCTCTGTATTAGCTTTCTTTTTGTCCTTTAGTGATGGATTGTGCAAACCTGCTGGCTCCTCTTTCTCAGGGGGACATGGGAAGGGACTGCATCACCTCTTGCTTCCTCTTGAATTTCATAAATGCTTTGAATTGGATTTTACCCAAGCAGAAAAAAAAAGCATTTCAAGGGCTTTCCGTCAGCAGTATATAAATAAAAATGGATCAGAATAGATTGGATTGTTGCTTCTTACATCCGCTTCCCCATTTTGTTTTTGACAGGTCCTGACACCCACACATACACACACAGCCTCCTTGCTCAGACTCGGCTAGATCTGCTTTGAGTTTTTGGCAGGATTTTCCATTCAGCAGCTCTTACGCTGGTCCTTAGCGCTCACTTTGTGCTCTCCATATTCATGGGTCGTACCAGGCCCGTCATTAAAACACTGCAGGGCAAACACTGCACCTTCCTGCAGGCTCTGAAACGGGGGAGCTGCTGCTGCTGCCTCCTGATCTCCTTTGCATCTCCACCGGGCCCAACATCCCTCCCCCACTTCAGTCCCTGCTTCCCACTGCAAAGGAGGGGAACCGAGCAAACAATCTGCAACAGGTAATTTATGTAATGAATTTACCCTTTTCCCCTGAGCTGAATATGCATGAGTGGCTCCTGATGTGTTCAAGTGCATCCACTGTTTGAAGAGGCTTGCCTCATTTTTTCCCCTGTGCACTGCTTTTAATGCTACATATCAATCACGAGTATTACCTGGTGCGTCCAAAAGCTGCTATTTGCTATTCAAATAGTGTTAAATTGTACCTGTTTGGTTAAGTTTTGAGAAATTGTTTCTGATCCTGAAGTGGATGAGCATGCAAATAGCTCTGTCACGCGTAGCACATACCCCTTTTAAAATGTGGCTTTAAAGTTTACAGAGGTTTGCGCTCCTGCGATTCACTTTTCACGAGCTTTTGTGCCGGGAGAACTCGGTTGCTTGAACGGGTGCACGAAAGGGGAGCGTGAAAGCAACACAAGAACAAAGTGGCAGAACGCACTTAAAAATTCCCCGGTTCGTAAGTCAAGTATTTAAATGGCCAGACTCTCCGCGAGCACTGGAGAGAAAACACGCGCGTGGGTCAGTCCCCCTTTTAATTGCTCTGCTGCGCCAGCAATGTGGAAGCGCAAAAGCAGCCGGGTGCAGGAACCGGGCTGGACGTGGCAACGACAGAGCGGTGACAGGATTCGAGGACACGGCATGAAGCAGTCAGGGGACGTGTGGGCTGGGTATCACACAAAGGTTCTTCACCCAGAGGGTGAACAGAGGCGCCGGGACAGGGCAGCGGTCACAGCACCAAGGCTGGCAGGGCTCAAGGAGCGTTTGGGCGATACTCTGAGGCCCGCGGTGCGACTGTCGGGGTGTCCCGTGCGGGGTCGGACTCGCTGATCCCTGTGCGTCCCTTGCAGCCCAGCACATTCCCGGACTCCCTCCCGCACCGCCACCGTGACCCCGCCGGGGCGGCCCGGCCGGGCGGAAGTGACGCGGGGCTGAGGGCGGAAGCGGCGCGGGGCGCGGGGCGTGGCCGGCGCGCAGCAGGTGAGGGGCGCGCGGGGCCGCGGGGGGCGCGCGGGGGGGGCGGGGCTGTGCCCTCCGCACCTCAGACACACGGCACGGGGGGACACGGCGGGACAGTGGGACAGCGGGACAGCTCCCTCCGGAGAGCAGCCCCGGCTCCAGTGGGAGCCCCCCTGCCGGGCCTGAGCGGCGCCCCCACGAAGGGCTGTGCCGGGGCCGCGGCCTGTCCCGTCTGGGGGCCAGCGGCGCTGCCCGGTGGGAACCCCGGGGAGCTCTGGGGAAGGAGAGCTTGGTGGTGTGGAATGAGAGTCACGCAGCGCCTGTTCGGATGGGATAGAAGGGAAGTGGTTTGTTACGGTTGTTATCCTGGGGTGCCATTCCCAGCAGGTGATCCCACCCCTCTACTCACCCCTGGTGAGGCCACATCTGGAGTGCTGTGTCCGGGTCTGGGCTCCTCAGGGCAAGAGCGACATGGAGCTATTGGGGCAGGTCCATTGCAGGGCAACAAAGATGATTAAGGGACTGGAGCATCTCTGTTACGAGGAAAGGCTGAGGGAACTGTGCCTGTTCAGCCTCAAGAAGAGCAGACTGGGAGGGGACCTCATCTGTGTTTGTCAGTATCTGAAGGAGTGCCAGGAGGACAGAGCCAGGTGCTCCTTGGTGATGTCGAGCAGTAGAACAAGAGGCAATGGCAGAAACTGATGCCCTGGAAGTTCCACCTGAACAGGAGGAATTGCTTCTTTACTGTGCAGTGACCGTGCACTGGAACAGATTGCCCAGAGAGGTTGTGGAGTCTCCCTCACTGGATTATCCAGAACTATCTGGACACAGTCCTGTGCCATGTACTCAGGGATGGCCCTGCCTGAGCAAGGAGGTTGGACTAGTTGACCCACTGTGGTCCCTTCCAGCCTGACCCCTTCTGTGATTCTTATGCTGTGCTTTGATGCTGAGCCATGACATAGATTGGGAAACCTGCCAGGCAGGCATGGAGCATGAAAACCTTGAGCATGCTGGGCTCTCAAGCTCTACACAGTGCTCTGGGGAATGGTCAGGGCTGTGCCTTTTCTCCATGTAAGTCAGGTACCCTGTAGGAGTGGACAGGAGATGCTGCAGCCTGAAGGGAGACAAAACAGAGAAGGTGGTGTCCGAGAGAGGGTTACAGGACTCAGTGTTGTGGGTTATGTGATTTTTTTCCTCAGCAAGTCAGCTGATGGCTTGTTATGAGGTTGTGGGTGTTTTGTACTATTCCAGGTACTGACTGGTTACAGTGGACTATCAGCTAATTCAGAGAACACCCCAGATTATAAAAAATGTAACTCCCAGTCCCTCAGGGTCACCACCTGGAGTACCATGCTACCTGGAGTACCATGGATTATGGATTGCCTTTAAATTGCACGAGTGTTTGTTTCTCACTCCCAGGGTGAGAAAGCGGTGCTGTTGTGATGATTTGTCAAATAAAAACCACATTGTCAGTGTTTACAAGTGAACCCAAATGCTGTTGTGATAATTATATTTATTGTATTAATCTTTTTCTGTGTTAAAAATAAAGAATGAGTCGGCCAACAGTAAAAAGACCACAGGGCTGCTAGACCTTGCTGTACACGTGAAGAAGGGCTGCTGATGGACACAGGGAACATTTTGGATCCACATCCAGCAGCGATGGTCATTGTTAGTATTTGTTTTAGTCTAGTATTTATTTTAGTAATCAGTGGAAGTCCTGTGATAAGCTTTCCCGCTCTCCTCTTTTTGAGTTTGGTTTTGCTGGTTTTGTTGTTGTTTATTTATTCAGTGTTGTGGTTCAGGTGTTGAGTGGTTGAACAGCACCTGGATTTTCCCAAAGACCTCTTTCCAAAGAGGAAGCTTTTCGTCCCTGCGCAGAGTAGGCTAATTCTTGACTCTGCTCACTTCTACAGTGCAGCTTCCAACAAGGAGTGTGGGATAATGCCAGCTGTGGTTGTGGCATTTCATGTGACTCAGGCAAATGTCAGTTGGGACTTTGCCTGAGCTGACCTATTTATTTCCCTTGGGTTGTGTGGCAGGTGTTGCTGGCAGTGATTTCCAGGCTGGGCTGACCTATCCTGGGGTAGATGAGGGAGAAGCTGAAACTGCCCCTATTTCTTGCCAGTTCTCTCAAATGTGAAGCCTTCTCTGAGCGGTGAAAGGAAGCGGAGCGGATAGTGCTGCTCCTGCCACAGGCAAGGGCTGGAAGCAGAGTGACTTTGGCATGTCCTTTAGAGGCTTTCTGCACGTCAGTTTTCCGGGGAATCAGTCAGTCAGCTGTTCCTTGCATAGACTTTATTTTAGGAAGGTTACCTGCCAAGTTCTCCTGATATTTCATTATGTTTGTCTTGTCTGAGTAGTAGAGGCTGCCTGATACACCTCTGTATTTCTGGGATGCTTTGAGGGTGGGGTTGGGGGTGGGGGGAACAGCTACACCTCCAGAGCCCTGAGGCAGAAAAAAATGCCTGAGGCACTCCCAGAGCAGCACAGTCTGCTAGTCTTAGCATTAGCCCTTCTATCACTCTGGATATTTAAACTGAGTTTTAAATCTTCATTCTTTCAGATAAAAAGTGCTGTTCTCTTCTTTCAACTCAGGAGTTAATTGGCCAGAAAACTGAAAGCAGAGAATTTCTGGGAACTGCTTTGCAGTCTGGCTTTTGGGTTCTGGTAATACCAATCACGGCAAGCTCAGCCTGGGCAGTGAAAGAGAAAGACAGAAATTGAGGGCTGGGGAAATATAATATTGAGATAATCCTGAAAACAAGGCAGATTTTTTTTTTTATATAACATTTTTTTTAGATTAAAGGTAATGTGCAGAGGAAGAAGAGGATTATGTCTGAAATTGTTATGTTTCCCATGGATGTGGTGTAGGAGCTTGAAGGGAATAATTTTTATCATGCAAAAAAGCAATTTCTGTAGCTAATCAGCTCTGCTTAGACCCCTTTGCAAGGTAACCTTTACCAGAAAATAGTCCATCCAGGTATCATTTTTTTGATCCAGCTTTTCATTAACTCCTGTCATCCAGGCCTCGCTGTAGGGATATTCCTTCCAGCAAATATGAACAGGCTTGAAGACATTCCTTATATAATGAGTTCCCTTCGTGTCTTCTTCCAGAAGTGCAAACATTCCTTTTGCTTTTGAATGCATAAAACGGGCAGGAACTACTTTGGTTGCCAGTTTGATTTGGTTGTTTCCTTCATTAAAGGATCCATTGTAACACTGTGTGTGGGGTCTGGGGGCTGTAAAACTCCAGAACTTTGGAGCAGAGGGTACTGAATCAGGAGGTGAAAAACAGGACATTGCGAGTTAGGGTTTGTGGCAGAGAGATGTGGCAATGGTTACGTCTGCAGCTAAGGTCCTCTGCAGGAGGCTGAAGCTGATTTTGTATCAGAAAATTAGGGGGAAAAAATTAACTGGGGTTTTTTTTTTGGTTTTTTTTTGTGTTTTTTTTAAGTGCTATGTTTTTGGAAGTAAGTATTTCTTGCTGTGGTCTGATAGCAAGAATGAGAAGCTCCAGACGTTCTGCAGGAGGCTCTACAGCAATGTTCCATCTACTCTGGGTTTGGAATGCCAGTGTTTAAGAGAACTTATTGCAGGGAAATGGCCCTCCAGGGGACTTTTGGCTTAACCAGTGGCTCCTGTGTACATTAGGCATACAAAACCAAAGTGGTCCAGTTAGGAAATCAAGGGAAGAGCTTTGTCTGGATGTTTGGGATGGGATTCTCAGCTTTACTTTCGATGTCTGTATTGTAGCTGTAGCTAGGCTATTTGTTTAGTCTTTTTTTATAATAAATAGTGAGAGGAAGGGAAAGCAGGCAATTAGCAGAGTGTTTGTGGTCAGTTGTAGATGGCTTAGAATCAGATCAATTGTTCATTAGAGCATCTGATTGTCTCCATTAGTGGTGAGAGCCAAAGGTGACAGTAGCAGAGGGGATTATCTGATTAATTTAAGATATCAACATCTGTCCATCAAAATGAGCTTTATGTATCCAGCTGGAGGAAATCATTTTCAGCCTGTGCTTAGAGGACAGGGCTTTCTCAGCAAGGTGATGCAGCTTGGTGCCTCCTGGCAGTGAGGGATGCTGTTTGTGCTTCTCAAAGCAGAGCTCTGCCTTGAGAGGATTGTCCTGAGGACAGTAGTGGCTCAGAGGCAGTCTTATGGAGCTGGGAGGATTGAAGTGCGCCTCTAAATTCTTTTAAGTCTCTACCTTTCAGATTCTCTTCAAAATTTAATGTAATAGCATTCTGTCTTCTGGAGAGTCAATATCATTTGATTATACTTGATCCAACTTTAAATGTCAGGTATTTTGCAATTTGCCAGTGAGTTGCCATATGCTATTGTAAAGCTGGGCTCTGAGATCTCAAATTTTGATTCTTTTTCTTAAGCCTAAGTGGAATAGTATGTGACAAACCAACAAATCTAAGTGGCTCTGAGCAGTTTTTAGGGAGAGTCTCCATTTGAGAATGATCATCTAATCTGTTGTTGTGTTGGTTCAGGCCCACACTCCCATGATCCAAGAGGTAATGCAGTGGGTGGGAAAACATCCAGTTCATGTGCCTTTAGTTCCCTGTCAGTAATGTCATTGCTTTAATGTCATATTGGTGGTAGATTTCATTTGCCTTTAGTAGCCGTGATAGCTGCTGTTTCTTTCAAAGCAAAGTGTCTGAGCCAAAGGTGTCAGCAGGCTCTGGCTTCTTGAGAAGGGGCTGCCTTAAATACTTAAATACTACTTTCAGAAGTAGATTTTTGACAGGCCAGTGCTTTTTCTTTGATAGCTCTGAGAACTCAGGAGGGATCACCTACAGATAATACTTTATTCCAGAAGCAGCAGGACAGGATAAAGGATGTTTGTTGGTCAGCCCGTGGTCCAGGGAGACATGTTCCTCTCAGGCCTCTAGTTTACAGAAACTCTGTCAGTAAGCTGCTCTTTTGGTGCAAAGCAGCCTGTCTATTGTGTTCCCTCTGCAACTTGAGGAATTAACTGGGGAAAAATAAAAGTTCTTTGGTTTCAGATGGAAGCTTCATACCAGAGCCTCTCTTGCTGTTTCCAGAAGCGAGTATCTTGATTACCTTAATACTTGTGTCTAGTACAGTGCTGGGAGTCAGTAGGTTGAGCAAAACATATACCTCAAATGGAATGGACCTGGAGTACCTTTCATGCAGATCCCATGGTCTGTTGGGTTGGACTAAGTGGCTGGCAGTAGTCCATGGATGCAGCTAACAAAAAGGCACCTGGCACTGTAGCTGACATCGTGGTGCAACAGGATGTTCTTGTGGTACCCAGATGTGTGAGGTTCTGCATATGTGGTAAGTGCCAGTAATTCCACATCCTTTGGGTATGGAGAAGCTACGGTGTTATATCACTGGGCTGTTAGTGCTGCAGAAAAAGGTTTTTCTTTTCCTGTAGCTGCTGCTGGGACAAATGAGGTGAGGCCGCTTTGGTGGTGGAATACAGTACGGATAGGCTGAAAGTGTGAGGTTGAGTAAGTGTCTCTAAAGCTGGAGCAGAGGAGCAGAAATGGCTTTTACAGCTGTGGCTAAGTTAGTGTTGTGATGTAGATGTGACCGTGATGTGCTGTTGCTGCCGAGAGGGAGGGAGAGGGATGGCTCCTAAAGCTTTCTAGTTTCCTGCGCCCGTTTCCAGTCTCTGTGTCTGGGGAACTCCAGCTCCTCAGTTTAATTCACTCATTGAAAGCGGGCAGAGAGGGACAGCTGGAATGGAGAGCTCTCTTGCTCCAGAAATGGCACTGGGATGTAAAATCCCAACTGATGCCAGGCCCTCCAAAGATGGAGAAACCCCACTCTTAGCTTTATCTAAAATAACTACTAGAGGTCTTGAGACCCAAAGCAGTAACGTCTACAGTGGAGTTTGAGGCTGCTACTATAAGACACGTCTAGTAACATGAGCACCCTGGTGGAGTACAGCCTGCTATGGGGCCTAATTATGGTCTTATTAATGCTTTCTTTCATCACTGCCTTCCAGCCTTCAGATGGTGATTAGACCTATTTATAGGGGCAGAGTTCCTTAATATTCATCACAGCGTACTTCTTGCCAATCAAATCAGTAGCATCTGCATCTTTGATTGCTGCTTAATAACACTGTAGAACATGCTTAATTAAAAAATATAAATAGACTTTTCATCCTCTTAACTTATCAAAGTACTTCTCTCCTCCCCCTGCCTTGCTTCCCCCAAAAAACCTAAAATTGGCTTAGCACAGGGACTGTGGTGAACCTCTCATCTCACTGCTGGAGATACCAGTTACCTCTTGTGTGCTCTGCTGGAGGACTAAATTTCGACCCCTCCAGTGAATGTCAAGACAGGGCAGAGCAATCGTTTGCTGTGCAATAAAATAGGACTTATGTCGAGGCTCTTTTGCTGCATTTACAGCCAGAGCATGAGAAACTTGTAGCTTTTGTTCCAGCTGTGTGTCTACATCTGTGCAAGTGCATATGCAGACACTGCCTTGTCCTGTCCCTTAACAGGAGGAGCATGTGCAATGACATGTTTTGCTTTTCTGTGACTTCAAGTCTCTTTTTTTAAATATGGTTCTCTGGCTTTGCAGCTGGTAAACTCACAGGAATGTGTTTTATCTGTGGAGGGCAAGGTGATACAATTATCTTTTTTTATTATTATTATTCTTTTCTTGGAGGATTTGATTCTGATATTTTTCTGTGATAGCCTCTAGGGAAGCCTCTAGGGTAACCAAGGAATGACTTGAATACACCAGCAGATTTGACCATGAAATTTTGTTGGAAGCCCATGAAGAAAGTAGGGAATGAGGATGATGTAGTAGTCCATTCAGTACTACAGAGTGCCATAGTTAAGTGCACAGTAGTAGAAGTTTGGGATGTGACATACAACAGACATTGTAGCAACTGGGAGCCTTTGGAACTCTAAAAGCCACAGTCAGGTATTGTGAGCAGTGAGCTGATGTAGCACACTGGACTGGAGCAGAGGAAAGTGAGGATAACAGAGGTCTGTTATTATCAACCAGCACAGGAAAGCATTTGTCCAGGTGAATGTGGTAGAAAGTGTTATGTGTGAGAAGTTACGGTCAGTGAGGAGTTCGGGATGAGTTCTCACTGTGAACCAAGTTACGGACGTGACTTTCCTCTGTCAGAGGAGGCAGCATTTTCTGATAAGCTGTGCCCAAAGCCTGTCTCTGCTCCATCGTTTGAGTGTGTTTAATCTTAACCAGCAGCTCACTTGTGGCTTTGTTTGTTCCCACTGTGGAACCATACTGGTGGCAGTGGTGTAGTGGTGTGTGGTGAGGGCTGTGCAGACTTGGGTTTTGTTGCATGTTGCTGGTCTCTGCATCCTCACAGGTGTCTACAAGGCACTGGTCTTTTATTAGGATCCTACAAAGGAGAGAGACAGGGCTAGAGACAACCTCACACTTCTTTTTGGAGATGTTACTGCCTGTGGGAATTAAAGGCCTCTAATTCATGCTGCCTTTCCAGTGCAGGGACAGAAGCAGCAGCAAGTAATTGCTAAAGCAGCCTTTGTAGCTTTGAAGAATACACACTGATTTTGTTTTCAAAGTATTTAATCCCTCTTCTCCCCTGAGCCCTCTCTTTTTAGTCTCTTGAAGCATGTTAAGAAAGCAGGTATTGTTGATAGCTTGCCTTATTCTCCCTTTATTTTCATAACAAAGTACACATCTGGTAAGTGCTTGTATGTAGATTTACAGCCTGCCTGTGTTGAGGGCAGCCAAACTGTTTTCTTGATATTGCCTTTGTTGATGTTCCTTTGAAAAAATAAGGTATTTTAAGGTTGCGGGGATCTTTTTTTTGTTTGTAGATAATCACCTCAGTGGTTGATCCTCCATAGTGCAGTATTTTCTGAAGAACTTTGGGAAGTGTTGCTTCTTTTACAGACTCTGTTTGCTCTGTGAGAAGTTCTCTTGGGCTTAGCCTTAATATAAGAAGTTTTATTCTTAGGTCCAGGGAGAGGTAACGCAAGAGGTGAACTAGGTAGGTGGAATGTTTCTCTACCTATCCAGAGCAGTGAATTTTGTACTTCATTTTTCAGGTTCAGAGCTACAGATCTCTATACAGCCATCAGAGTATTACACTTGGCTGGAATGATTCAACAGTAACACCAGTTGTTGGTTCCAGATGCCTGAAAACCCTGGAGTGCTCAGCCCGTATCTGTCCTGGTTTGAAGTCTTTTGGAAAGGCAAGACAGTGTGGTGGAGGCTGATTTTGCATTTCCCACTGCTGTTGTTTTGCTCAGTGTGTGTGTTGGAATCGAGAGGGAAAGAGCAGCTTTGAAAGCAGAGGGAGAGCCACCACCCTTGATGAGCTTTGCACCAGCTTGCCTAAGGTGAAAGGATAGACAGCTTAAAGGCACAAGTGCAAATCTGAGCAGTTGGTAACTTTAGTCAGAGCTTCCAAATCAGGATATAGCACTTGGAAGCAGGTGGTACAGTGAGAAAACAACCTTTTTCTCTTTGTTTGCACTTTAATAAGGTAAATGAGGTTATTATATAACACCAGAGCACATTTGTCTTGATCATGGAAGTTGACACAGAAAAAATAATTGAATAAAGAGAGGATGGAGCCCCAGATGCTGCAGCTTTTTTCCAGAGCCTCTTTGATCACCAAAAAAAAAAAAAGCTCTGTATTGCTGTTTCTTCTGACCCGTAGGTGGTCACACCACTAATGATTAAATCTCTTGAGTGATCTGACATCTGCTCTTGTGAATCATACTTGCTTTGGGCACACATGCCCCTCTCTCACTGTAGCATCTGAGTATTTTATGTCAGCCGCCATAATTCCAGCATTCTGGACTGAGTCTAGTCATTCAGGTGTTGCTGTTTTTCCTCTTCTTGCTATAAATCTCCAGCTCGTTTCCTTGCACAGAAAGAATTATCTCTTGTATTTGTCTCTCACAGCAGTTCCCAAAGAGTCTGCCACATTTCTCCAATGTGGTTTTTTTTTAGCAAAGGTGAGAATCTGGAGCTCAGCTGAGAGGCTGCATTGAGAACCTGTGAAGCTGAAGTTTACTGTCAGATGAACTCTGACAGTGTGAGCAGGAGCACACAGGGATTTTCCTGTTTTGCCCGCTGCTGTGTGCTCCTCTGTTTGCAGGGGAGCAGTGGGACCTGGAGGACAGTCTGTAGCTTCTGATTGCAGGGAAAGAAACAGTTTGGTAGTAGCTATGGATGTGCTGCTTCCATGTGTGAGCATCTGTCAGTCAGCAGCTGAACAGATCTTGGCTTTAGAAAGGTCACTGGGAGAATTAGGATTGGTGAGAGTCTGAGAGATCATGTATAATCTCATCTGGCCTCAAGAGGTGAAAAGCTTGGCTCTCTCAGGATTGCCATTGCACAGGAATGGTTTCAATAATGAAGCAAGTTTTAGAAGTCCCCTTTTTGCCCCTGCTTCCCACTCTGCTTCATGACTGGGCAGTTACAGCTGTTTATCTGGCTGCAGCAAATTGGGTCATTGAACTGATCCGAGCTAAAAATAGGCATCCCCAACATGAGCAGCATTGATGCAATGGAAGAGTTGTGACCAGTGGCAGGGAGGATCATAAACTCTTTTTGCTGCTGGAGCCAGAGTAACTCATCACCGTGCGCTCGCTCTGTTGTGTGCTCGCTTTGTTCCGCCTTGACAGTCAGATGGGAGATTTGAAAGGAAGAGGATTCGAGCTCGATTGTGGTCAGCAGATCAAAAAAGATGCCGTCTCAAAATTAGCTGTGCTCCTCTCTGATTAACTTGTGTGCTTTACAGCTCTAAATAATAATTTCCTGTCTGCTGAGTAGGCCCAGTCAAGAAGACTAATCAGTGTGCAAACATTGCCGCTAAAGAGTGCGGATACAGAGTCTGGCTGCCAGTGATGCATGAAATGGAACAGAATAGGTCTAGGCTTCCTGCAGCAGAGCCAGCTCTTCTGCTGGCTAGGCTTGGTTTTGCGAATTTAACTGCAAAAAGGCTACTAGGTGTCCTTAAATCTCATGTGATTCATTATTAAACACCTAAAAAACCCCCGAAACAACCCAAAAAACCCCGCGTCCCAAAAAAATCGCCCTTAAAATAACAGCCGCATCACATTTACAGAAAGTCTTTCCCTACCCTGCTGCGGTAGGATCAGGAAGGACAAATTTGGAGAGGGTGGATGGTGTTTCTTAAATGTACAGGAATGGCTGCAGGCAAGTCTAATCTGTTATCTTTTCATTTTGTGAAGCAAGATAGAGGATTTAAAGAATGAGTGAAGACTCCTCTAATTTTCACATATTAAACTGTTGTTTTATGTTGTTCAGGCTCCTGTTCTGTGAATTTATCCAGTGTGGGCTGTGTTTCTGTGTTATTCTCAGTCTGTCCTAGTGTACAGGCAGGAATACAGGTTGCACACAGCAGTGTTCTCTGGATTAGCTCCTGCAGAACTCCAGGTATCACACAGGGAATGTGGTGTGTCCTGAGATATCCCCGTCTGTTTCTGATGCCTTGCTTTTTGATCTTTCTTTGTTTTGCTTCTCCTCAGCTTGATGAATACTTTCTTATACCGATGTACAGCACTCTGTGTGATGAAACCCTGTAATGAGCACCTGTAATCTGTGGGGTTTTTACAGCCTGAGTGAGAAGACACAGAAAAAACAAGTTTGAAGAGAGCTGTGTGGACCTAGCAGTAGAGTTTGGGTTAGAAAAGTGTATGGATACTCTACTCTGTTCATTCTTTGGACTGTCCTAACAAAGATGTATTTGTGAGTTTGCAATTTCTAATGTGCTTAGAGAAATTGAGTTTTTTTCTCTTTACCCTCCTTCATGTCCTGGGAATGTTTTTGTGATTTTTGTGAGTAAAACCATGAGAGGCAGATTTTTTGGGAGTTGCTGAGGGAGAGGTGAGCAAGGCTGTCAGGATGGTAACATGAGTGATGCATGGCTTTCTCTTGGCTGAGCTACAGAGCAGTGGTTTGGGCCCAGCTGCATCTGAGAGCACATGTACTGCTCTGGTGCATGTGTTGCACACAACTGAGATGTGTCAGTGACCATTTAGGTTTTGTACCTAAAAGGATCCTAAAATAAGGAGGCTTCTTTTAAGATAGTTACTAAGGAAAAATCCAGCCACCAGAAGCAGCAAACAGCTCCTGGGAGTCTCAGAATGGAAGAACTCCCATTAGCCTACTTGGAGCAAGGGGGTGTGTGCACTTGCATGCTCTTCCTGGAAGGAAGTGGTGGTTGTGTTTCATGGAGCAGAAGTGTAAGATGAAATACTGCATTTTGCCAGTAAGGCTGAATGACCTGGAACATATCCACAGGGAATATGAGAATGAGAGGAAGGGACAGAGCAGTTTCTGATGAGTCTTATTACCACCCTGAACTGACTTTCCTTTGAAGTGTGGTCTTTGTTTTCAGCACAGTACTGAGCAGAGATTTGTTAAGTAGCATGCAAAAAATAAAATTATGGTTCCCAAGAGCATTCAGATAAGCAAGAGACTTCCACCTCACTGCGGCTGTCATGAATTTATTAAAAATCCAATATGTCAACCTTACTACCTTGTGCTGTTCTCCACAGCTCACTAATTCTGTTGCAAATGCTTTCCTAAAATAATTAGGGGAGCAGAAAGTGGAAGTCCCTGAATAAATGCTGTGATAAAATGGAAGTGTGTTTAATAATGATCTCTTTCCTCTTTCCCTTAGGTACAATGGCTGCAGTAGCCCAGAAGCACTTTTTGGAGGGGCAAACATACTCAGTCCCCCTGATCCAACCGGACTTACGCAGGGAGGAGGCTGTTCAGCAGGTGGCAGATGCACTTCAGTACCTGCAAAAGGTGTCTGGTGATATATTCAACAGGTAAAGTGCTCTCACAGGGGGTTGGGTGCCTTGAATTCAGCAATACGAAACAGTGCCGTGATAAGGTTGCAGCAGTGAAAGTTCATTGCAGTGGCAAGCAATGGAAGGTCAGAAAAGGGATAAAAAAGGACCAGATGCACTTCAATTAAAGTTTATTGGATTCAGGTCTGTCAAAGTGAGGCATAATGAAATGGCTGCAGTTAGCCAGAGCTGGTTGGTTATTAATTTTTTATTCAGTGGTAGAGTCCCACAAATTGCATTATTGCTTCTGGTGCCATTATCCTTTATTCCTTCCTGCTCATGTTTTAAAGGGGAGGCTTTGTTATTGAGAGTATCTTGAAGATATGTCTTTTTGAATCATTGTGCTTGAAGCAGTGAAGTAGAAAATGTCTCTTTGTTCTGATCTCTGGGACTTACAAACTGTTCTCTTTGGGCTTCTGGTATTTTGCACTTTTTGTGTGTGGGGAGGGCTGAGTGCATGAGAGTATTCTTCTCATCACAGTCTCATAATACGTCTGAACCCATTTCTTCAGGGGTTTGGCCCAGACTTGGCACCTCTTGCATATGGTCATCTTTGGGGTTGGGTCTATAAGACTGCCTGTATAGCAGATCAGAGAGATTCTTGTGTTTGCCTGCAAATGGTGGTGGATAATATGCTGCCTTTTTCCATCCAATGGCATCTTTGATGTCTCAGTGCTCTCAGATGGCATTATATTATTGGTATGGGAACAGATCAGCCTTTGTCTTCTCATAGCCTGATTAGCAAAAGCACTTGCTTTGGTTTCAGGGGGATCATGACTACCTAGTTTGATTTAATATGGTTTGTGGAGGACCATGACATTCTGTCTTCTTTTGAGTTTTGGGGGTTTTTTTAAGGATAGAGTGAAATTCTTCAGTTTTTCATAGAGATATTTTGAAAGGCAGCCTCTGGGGAGAGAGTAGTCGCTAGGGCTGAGCTCAGGACATTGAGGGAAATAAAGGCTTTATGCTGGAATAGTCTTTGGCAGGGGCTTCTGGGCAAGGGCTGTGTGTGGGCTGGATTGGGTTGAGGACAAGGTGTCATTCTTTTGTGCACTGCACAGTATTGGAACCCTTCATGATACGAGGCTGAGAGAAAGCTTTCTGGAGCTGCCAGAAACATGTGGAAACACCTCTCAACCTTGGGGCTGGTTGGCAGTGCTGTCCCTCTCTGTGGGGCAAATAAAGCTGTTGATAAGACAGGAGTGGCCTTTCTCTGTCTTTTATTTCCTTTTTGTCCCTCCTCACTGCTTTGTAATGCAGTACCCTGTAATTTCCCCAGGGAGATGAGCCTGCTGTTTTGTATGCAAGTCACTCCTGAGTCCTGAACAGTGACTGTGATGCTGTTCCCTCATCCTTTGGTGCACTCATGACTTTTAATTACCAATTTTCTCCAACAACAGAGGAGGCTTCATTGGGTTCTTTGTTTGCTTTGCCTTTCCTCTGAGGTCTTGGCTCTCTGATATAATTAATAATGATTTAGTAATTATGCAGGCATCTGATTAAAAGTTCCATGACCTTGGTTGTTCCATGTCAATCAAGGGGCAAAGCTTTCAAGGTGAGAACTTTGCCACTTACTGAAGAGTGACCTTTTATCTTCCCTTTCCTGAGATAAGGCAGCTCTGTCTTCCATTTCCAGGAAGGAGCTGGGGAAGCTGACTGTTCTGATCTGCATAACAGCAGCTTACAGTGTTGGTGGAGAGGAGACTTGTTCAGTGTGGCAGACTTGGCCAGAGTGTGTCAAACTCGTTACTTCAGTACTACAAAGATGCAGATGTTCTGGGCTTGTTTTGTGGGAACAGTTGGATTGGTACAGTGCTTTTGAGTGGCAAGCCAATCTGTTTGTTGAAGATGGAGTGAAAGAGTCTCTTACTCTCTATGGAAAGAGGGATCTTTCCACAAGTGGATCTCTTTTTACATTTTAGCTGAATTAAGTTTCTGCTTTGAGTTGTTGCTGACATGACAGCGAAGTATGAGTTCTTGAAATGAACTAGGAACACGAGAAAGACACCTTTGCATTTGGAGAATTAGGAGAACAGATAAGGAGCTTTCCTCCTCTTCCCCACCGTTTGGGGAACCTGGAAAATAACCCATGAGACAAGTCCCTGCCAAACTCTTCTTTCCAATCGCTCTCAAACAAGCTTGCTTGCTGTTAAGTTCAACTGTGGTGAAGTACATGGAGAATGAGGCACTTTGCAGAGTTCATTAGTTTGTAATAAGGGTTTGATAATCAGCAGTTGTGCAGGTGCAAAACCACCTTCTGGGACCAGCCTTGGAGGGTAGGTCTAGCAACCTGGACTGCAGTCTGGAATCAGTAAGAAAGAGCAGGATACATCAGCTTAGCATCCCTCTCCATATTTCTAACCCTCGGAAGCAGGGACCCTCCTGGCTTCTTCCACATGGAGTACACCAAAGTACTACATCCTTCAAAGGCAGAGTGTTGACCTGGGCAGGCTCTTGGCTGCTGGGCAGTAGAGGTTGATGTCTTAGGCCAGTACTGTCAACAGTCCCACTCTCTTAGGAAATCCTCTTGGTGCTGATATCAGTGAGGGGATAAAGAGGCTGCATGTCCTTTTCAGGGTTATGCTTTGGAGTAATGGAAGTTTTAACCTTGCGTATGTTCACTGAATTCATGCAATTAGTCTGCTGTGGAAGCTGCAGTAAAGATCAGATTCATTGCCTGTAGCTACTGAGATTTTAATACATATCATTACTGCTTAAAACATAAATATTGTAACATAGCCAATCTGACATAATATCTACTTAAGTTTAACTCCTGAACTTTTAAGGAGGGTTTTAGATACAGGTCACAGGAGGCAGGATGACCAATTTAAACACTCAATTAACAGTAGCCTTTCATCTGTTTGATTTCTCATTACCAGCATTTTCTGAGCGAGAGCTTGTGTTGGAATTATGTGCTGTGGAATTTTTTACAGGAATGTTGTTGCGGTAAGTACTTGGAGATGGGTGGTGGGTTTAGCTTTCCTGAGATGTTCCACTAGTTAGCTGGACTTATCCTTTGGGATTTCTCAGTTTCTATGGAGAGTTTGTGTTGTTGGGAAAGGTTAATAATCTCTAATATGTCAGTTCAATATTCAAAGTGTACACTTTTGTGCTACAGATTTGTGGAAAATTGCCTTTGCCAATTATCTCATGGAGTTTTACAGCAGTAGAAAGAAAAATATTTGGGGTTGAAATTTTGTTATCAAGGTCCTGATTTACTTTGCCTGTGATCCAACCACAAGTTGTCCAACCACACAAAATTTCTCATCCTTGTGTTTCTTTTTTTTTCAGTTTATAGAAGATTTCTTGGGTTGCTCCTTTTAAAAATCTTTATTCAGTGTCTTTTACTTGTCTGAAATAATACTTCGCTAAACCAGTGTATCCTTCTGTTTTCTCCCCAGTTGGATTCAAGTTAATTTCATATTAAATATTTGAAAAGGGCTTTAATATTAAACAAAGATTTAACTGAAAGCCACACTACTGAAGATGGTAGCTGGAAAACAAAAGTACTGTGGAAATGCTGTTAAGGGTGGAGAGGAAATGTGATGTGTGATTAAGGAAGGTAAGGAATAGCTGATGGGCAGCAGAGCCTTAAGGGATATTTGGGACAGGAGCAGATCTGAGATGTGAGCAGTCCTGAAACTAAAATACAGACAAAATCTTAATCCTGAGGTGCATTTGGGTGTTCCCCTTGTTATTGCAATTAGTCATGATGATCAGTAATGGAAGTGGGGGGACTAAAAATATCCCTGTAAACGTACTTGATTTAGGAGGTCTGTGGAATGGAAACTTGCCAGGGAGGGTCTTGCTGCAAGCTATACTGTGTTGTTTGTTGTGCAGTGGGGCTCTGGGATGCAGCTTGGAGCTTGAGCACTTCATTGTATTTGTTCCTCTGTTGGCTGCAAGAGTTGGATCTTGCCAGGAGGAGAGCTGTCAAGAGGGCTCCAGTGCAGGGGAGTTTACACCAGGAAGATGGCTGTAGCACAGGGAATTAATTTTTCTCCAGTTAATTTGAGAGTGTTATGACTTTTGCTAAACCACAAGTTGCCTTGTGGTACTTTGAAGTTGTCCCTGAAAGAGGATGCTAAGTCTAGGTTGGTTTCAGATACCTCTCTTGAGAGGCTGTAGGAGCAGTCATTCGCTGCCAGGAAGATGAAGCAGGAACAGTGAGGTAGAGAGTGACTGGATTGTCCTGTAGTCATGAGGAAATGGAGTACAGGGAAGACATTTTGCCTGCAGATAGTTGGTATTCTCGTAGAGATGTGTCCAAGTAATGTGGAGTTATTTTTCTTTTAAGTGTAGCACACACTTTGTAAGAAACCATTCATTTGTTTTGGCTGTCTTGATCCTCTGGAAGCTAAATTTGAAAGCTTGCAAAGATGTAGCTTCAGAGGGGTTCCCAGACTATAGGAGGGAGACTTTAGGAGGTGACAGGAGTGTCAGAGCAGCATGCCTGGACTGCTGGTGGCAGCTGGCGCTGGAAAGCCTCCTACACCCTTAAGAGGCAAAGGGAGACAAAGTGTTCTGCAAGAGTCCAGGTCACAACTCTTCCTGGATGTTTCTAAAATCCCTAAGCTTGAAATCTTGCAGGATCTGAGGCCCTAGGCTCTATTCAGATGCCTTGACAGCCCGTGGGGTGGGGCAGCAGGTGGGAAGGAGACTGAATGGTACTAAGTCATTAAAAGATTATTCCTTCAAAATTAAACAAACATAGTGGAGAATTAGCAAGACAGGATTCTTGCTAATCTCAGAAAGTGCCGAAAATCTGTCTTTTGGACTTCCAGAGATTAAATGTGTCTTTTGAAGGACAGGAACAGAATGCTAAAGTTGGTTCTGCAAGCAAGATGCTTTTTATGGCAGTCATTGAAATGCAGTGATGGTTACTTAAGCCCTTGCTCTACGTCCACTAGCAACAGCTCTTCCACATCAGTTTTGTCTATGAATTTGTTTATCTGTGAATCCCATGGCCCTGAAAGGAA